TCCGATGAACCAAAGATCGCTTCAATCGGAGCACGAACGAGAAAGTTACAAACGGTTGAAGTTCGTATGCTTTTTATATTTGGTTGCAGCGACTATGGGAATTTGTGGGGTTAATCTACATAAGATATAGACCATTTGGGGTTGAGAAATTCGTCACCATCACTGTAGATGATGTCAAGTGGTTGGGAGAAGCCAAACCAGATTTGCAAGTGTGGCAAAGTTGGGAGAGGTGGATTTGAGAGGTTGGGAAAAAGACAAGGGTTAAGGTTGGGTTCCTATAGAGAGGGAATCTTGTGAGCATAAGAGGTTTCCTCGATTGGGGACTCCTTGGGGACCTTCCCTCTAGTCCTCCTCTTCCCTCCTGTCTGGTTTCTAGCTACTCTAATTCCCTTGTATGGTACTTGTGAGATAATTGTGATTGAGTTAAGTTTCTGTGGCAGCATACCCCCCGGTGCGCCGAAATTCATAACTCCGGTTTGACTTCACGTAATGATACGATTCGATTTGGGAATTGGGAATTGAAATTGGTGAAGGTTTCATGGTGCAATTTTTGTCTACGACGTTTTTTGTGAAGTCTAGGTTTCTGTCCAGAAATATAGTGAAACGATTTTGAGATATTTCGGCCCCTAATCTTCATAGACTCCGTCCTTAGTTTCCAACACTGAACCGACGCTTGACTCGTCGAAAATCCTGAAGTACCGCGTACGACTAGATGCAAGTGGGCACCATGTGGATTTTTTGATCCATTGGACTGACCGCACCAGCGAGGACGATACTTGGGTGCCATCCGCCTCGCTTGAAGCACCTTCGCTGCTTCAGGATTACCTCGCCCGCAAGCGTGTCATGGACATTGGCCACGAGGAGGGGGGGGGGGGGGGAGGGGGGATGGTTGGTGTAAGGGTACATTCCGCGCTGGACACTTTCTCAAAGAATGTGTCCCAATCGATTTTGGCCCGAGTCGCCCTCAAATGTCTCGAGTCCTCATGTCCCAATCGACCAATGTACCGCGACATTGTACGACCAGGGCAACAATTATGTGTGAACAAATATGATTGGTGATTTCTGGTGGGGGCCCAGGGTTTAGCCGCGTCATATGCACCACCACTGCCAGGCCCGCAAATGAACATGGGGGGTGGCGGGGGAGGTCGCGGAGTGTTACCGACGGCTGCGCAACCCCCAATAATTGCCATACACAAAATTACGATGGTCGCAGTACATCACGAACAAGCACAACATAAAGCAAACAGCGCTCAATTCGAGCCACAACGCTCGCAAGATCTACGCACCATGGCTGAGCCAAGGCCCATCCCGTTCATCGTACGCCTACTTGTCGCCTAGGTCACGTACTACTACACAATCTTCCACGAGACTGTCGCCAAGTCCTTTGTCGGACTGATTGAGGCTGGTATACTCGAAGACGCGGACGAGCAGTCCTCGTCTCTTGGGGACGACAACGCGGAGAACCACCGTCACAGAGCGAGAGTACGGCGGCAACGCCATGCGCTGTGGGTTGACGACCTGCAACATATGTGGGAGAACGATTTCCAAGACATTTTCAGAATCAATCGCGCCATACTTGAGCACATCAAGACTGGCATGCGCCAATGTCTTGAACCAATCGTACATCGGTCCTGGATTACAATGGACACAGCTTTGCTCATCCCTATAAAATACTTAGCAAGCGGAATCTCCTTCGTCGATATGTCATACCTCTTTGGGGTCTCCAAGACACTCTGCCACGAGCTAGTCGACCTCTTCCTCACCGAGCTCCCCGCCCTCTTCAAGGCCGCTTGGGTGCGATTCCCCACACGAGCAGAACTTCCAGAGTTGGCGCGTGAATTCGCCGCCATGAAAGGTGTGCATGCAGTGGTGGGAGCTATAGACGGGACTCACATCCACATGAGTGGGATAGAGGGGCACCGGACCGAGTATCGGACAAGGAAATAGGCATACGCAGTGCAGCTCCAGATCACATGTGATGCACGGGGAAGGATATGGGATTACCTCATCGGTTATCCCGGCAGCGCGCACGACCTGCGTGTGTTCAAAAACTCCGCACTATTGGAAAGGTTACAGAACGGTGACATAGACCCCTACCAAATTGTCGGGGATGCGGCATACCCGCTCAGAGAATACTGCCTAACCCCACTTCATGCCCCATGCGGAGAGGATCTAATGGACGACTGGGCCCAGTGTTTTAACTACTGCCAGAGCGCTACGCGCATGGCGGTGGAGAGGTGCATCGGCGCCTTCAAAGGAAGATGGCGCCTCTTCAACGGGCGCAATGATTGCAGGTTATGGCGCATTCTTGCCGGGGCCGCTTGCTGTGTGATCCTGCACAACATGTGTGAAAACATGGCAGACGTGAGGAGCGTGAATATGGCCTGGTTCCATCTGCCCCGCAACCGCGACCCATGGTGGACAAGGGGAGCCGTCGCGGATCACAAGTGGGAACCATGTGTCCCCGCGACACAACAGGCCCTGAGGGAGAGAAGGAAAAGACTAGGGGAAGCTTTGCAAGAATCTTACGCTAATTGTCGGCGCCGCGGACCCATATCTCCACATCGTCATCAACCGGAGCGACGGTGTTGACATCGCCGGCCTCGTCGCGCTGCACGCCGGCATCGCCTCCAACTGCGTTTAGCGCGGCACGCCCGGGAGGTGGTGCAGACTCCCTGCGTGGCGGAGGATGGCTGAAGTCCGTTGTTTCCCGATGCACATGCGGTGGAACTGATTTAGTCATGCGCTCGTGGGCTAGGCGCAATTCCTGCGCCATCCATTCGCGGACGAGACCCTCGATGCGCGTCATGGCGTCACCGTGGCAATCCTTGATGGTCGCAGATACAAGCATGGCGGCTTGCATAGTCGCCGTCTCATGTACCCTTGTGCGCTTAGGTGTAGCGTTGGTTTGCGGCGGCGATGCTGTCACAGAAATGCATGGAAGCACGCAAGTTGTGATTAGTAGCTTCAATAGTGTACAATCATTCTAACGATTGATACAAATTGACAAATAGCCGATTGTTGCTTGACGCCCATAAATGACCACGGTACGCGCATGCGGAACAAGAACCGAATCTCACCTGTGAAGGTCGGCGTCGAAGTGACGGGCTGGGAGGAACTTGGTACCTCCATGCCCGCCTGCACGTTGACGTTCGTTGCGCCGCCGCTGTCTACCGCATGCGGTGCGGCTGCAGCGGTGTCCTTGTTGAAAGAGCTCCAAGTACAGCCACCATGGCGGTTTCTCCACAGATCCGTTGCCCGAACCACCATCTCCCTGCTTGTATTCCTTCCAGATCAGCATCAAGTTGCGCCACTGCTCCTGCAATGCATTGACGTTCCTGCACCAACCCGGGGTTCGACTCCTTGATGTGCGCGAGAAGGCGCACCCAGTACTGCGTCCCCTGCTTGCCCTTAAGCGGCTCAAGTTCTTCCTTAGTGAACCAACGCGCCGCGGCGAAGATGGTGCTTTCCTTGTCCGACCACATGCCCCTCTCTACCGGGGCAGCCAACCGCTTCTTCAGGGGCTCCTGTCGTGGCGGTGGTGCAGCCGCCTTGCCTTTGCCTTTATCAGCGGCAGAAACACGAGGGGCGCTCCGTTTTGGCGGCTGAGTCACAGGTTGCACTTCCTCCTCCGCGTCGTCGTCGGCGTCGTCATCGTCTCCCTCGTCGTCTGACGGGGACATCCCCGTATCCTCAGGCTCTTCGTTCTCCTCGTCACTGCCGTCGGCTTCTTCGGCGTCTTCCTCATCGTCGTCATCCACGAACTTCTCGACGACGGGCCGAATTGTTGCACCGGTTCGAGGCGGCTGGCGGCACACACGTGACGGACCGGCGCTGGGTGACGGTGCACTAGAACCCTGCTCGTCAGGCGCGGGCGGAGCGGATAAGCCGGTAGGATGACGGCCGTTAGCGATCTGTTGGTTCATCCAGCGGATGTACGGGATGTCGTTAAGGTCCTTGGGGCAGTCGTTAAGGGATTGGCCCTTATGCTTACGAGCCATTACGGGAACACAGAGCGTGTCACGATCTAGATCTGGTGTGACAGGGAGGAAAATGTTAAAGTTTGACTGGAACAGGCTATACATTTCTTCTATCTGATGCTGTATGTGTTTGGAGGAGGGGGAGTTGAGGGGAAAGTGTATTGACCATGGGGGGAAGCTGTGCTGGCGGGAAGTGCGCGGGCCTGTCAATAATTCCGTGTGTGTTGGCTCGACCAATCACGCTGCATTGAACGCGTTGATAGGGATATGGGTGTCTGTTGAATGTTGTCTAGGTACATGGAGCATGTGGGGACATTTGGCACCGCGTGCGATACCGTGAATGTGTTGCGATGGTGTGCAATTAGCATGCGATTGTTCTGCAGTTCACGTCAACCAATTATTAATGCGTTCGGCGACACCCACGTGCGGCCCGGGTTTCGGACACCTGGCAGCATAAGCTGTACATACGCGCCACAATCGATTGGGACACTTTCTTTGAGAAAGTGTCTAGCGCGGAATGTACCCTAAGAAAAAACCCTTTCCTTGGTCAGGGTTTACTGCCTTCGGAAGTGCACGGTCGGTTGGTTTCCTTGACACCAAAGCAACCTCGCGTTGTCTTCAGTTTCCCTTTGCCCAATGCACCCAACCTCGTATTCCCGAGGCTCCCGCCCAGCTAGGTTGGCCCGCTATAATAACTCGTGTCATTCATTGTATTGTTAGTCCATATTGTTATTCTTTAATCCGCGCAACTCTGTGAACAACTCATAGCAGTAGCCTACATCCAACTTTGGGCCCCGCCCCTCCCCGTCCACCCCCAAATTCAAATGCACTCCATAAATCACAACTCGTCAAATTGAAATAATATATGTACAAGGGTCTTACAAAATCTGTGGATATTCACCCTAATATATGGATTTATAAATATCCCCCAGGTCCTATACCCGGGGACATATGGGGATTTATGGCAGTTTGCCTCACAGTGGGGTGTGAAGCAGCCCGCGTTCTGAGAATTCAAAATAATCATTGGCTGCTGCATCGATGGTGTCTGTTTGTGGTGTGACTGACAGTAGTGGGGTGTGACATAATCCGCTGCAGTGCCCTTCCGGAATGCATTTGGGAGAGGTGGGCGGCGAGCAGGTGGGCATCCACTGGCTTCTGCAGCACACCGTCAAACCCCCCCTCTGCACACCTCTCCACCACTCCGCGATCCACATCTGCCGTCAGGGCCACTATGGGCACCTGCAGAGACCCTACCCACCCACCATCACCAGCAGCAGCAGCAGCAGGAGCACCAACACCAGCGCCAGCAGCAGCAGGATTTGAAGTTTCTAGGAGAGGGATGCAAAGAGCAGAAGGGGTTTGCTGCTGCCTTTGCTGGTGCAATTGCTGTGCCCGTGAAATGGTTTCAAACCTCACCCTCCTCTCAAGAGCTCGTATGGCTGCTGCTGCTGCGAAGCTGCCATGGCAAGAGGAACAGGGGGAAGGGAGGAAAATCAAGCAACAGGGACATCAAGCTTGTATGGATAAAGTTAGCAACGAAAAAGGTTCACGCAGGAAAAAGGTTTAGTACGCAAATTCATGACTCAGGTTTAGTATGCACGTTCACGACTCACCCATCCATGCCCACCCACCACTCACCACCACTCACAACCACTCACCCGTCCATGCCCGGCATCTGCAGGTCCATGAGAACCAAGTCGAAGCCATGATGCAATGATGATGCACCCGCCTCCTGCTGTCCTTTCGCCTTGTCCTTCCCTCTGTCCTCCTCCTGCTGCCCTCTTGCCTCCTGCTGCATTCTTCCCTCTTCCCCAAGTGCCTCCTGCCCACTCTCCTCCTCCTCCGCTCTCAACCCCACCAAGCCAGCAGCGATTAACTCAACCGCCTCCTCTCCACAGGAAGCGGTGGTGACGAGGGCACCCCAGCGGGCGAGGGAGCGGCGGGCCACGAGGAGGTTGACGGGCGTGTCGTCCACCACCAGCACTCGCAGCCCTTCCACCCACGCCCGCGTCACCGCCTCATCCGCCGCAGTAGCAGTGGCAGCACCAACACTGGCTGCACGGGCACTCGTTCCCAACGCACACAGTGAGATCGATCGCTCGTATCTCGCACTCGCACCCCCAATCCCACTCCTACTCACACTCAATTTCTCACTCTTGCACCGGCCACAATGGGTGAGTGTCACTCCCTGGTGCTGCTGCTGCTGCTGCTGCTGCTGCTGCTGGTGACGCTGGTTCTGTTGAGGCACCTGATCACTCTCCTGGCCGTGCGGCAGCAACCATCTGCTGCTGGCACCTGAAAAATATCCTGAATCTGCCTCACGCGCGTGGAAACTGCTGGAGGCACCTGAGAGGTCACCTGAAGCACTCCTTTGCCCCTCACCATGCCATACAACTCCTTGATTCTGTTGACTCTGCTCCTGATTCTCCTGCTCCTGCTGCTGCTCCTGCTGCTCCTGCTGCTGCTCCTGCTGCTCCTGCTGCTCCTGCTCCTGCTGCTCTTGCTCCTGCTCCTGCTGCTGATGCTGTGGTTGCTGATTGCTTGACTGCAGTTCGTCTAAACAGTGTTCTTGTAACGAGGGCATGGCTACAGGCACAGAGAAGGCAACTATGCTGCCACACCCGGGCTCTGAGTCGAAGGCGAGCTCTCCCTTCAATAGAGTCACCTGGGGGGTAGCAGGAAGGTGGTGGGAGATGAAAAGGGTGCTTCTGCAATTGAGAACCAGACCTAGGATTGAGAACCAGACCTAGGATTGAGAACCAGACCTAGGATTGAGAACCAGACCTAGGATTGAGAACCAGACCTAGGATTGAGAACCAGACCTAGGATTGAGAAGCAGCAGCAGCAGCAGCAGCAGCAGCAGCAGCAGCAGCAGCAGCAGCAGCAGCAGCAGCAGCAGCAGCAGCAGCAGCAGCAGCAGCAGCAGCAGCAGCAGCAGCAGCAGCAGCAACAAAGCAACAACAGCAGTGAAAATGAAGAATGGACAGATTTTTTATTGACTCACCGTTTGCTGCACAAACACGAGCCCGAGTGCTGCCCCCGCACACTCCTCTTACTCTCTTTATCTTTGAGACGCCTAAACATTGGACTTGGTATCAAAGTGTAGGCAAAAAATGAAGTTCGATCGACTCACCGTTTGCTGCGCCAACACGAGCCCAAGGCCTGCCCCTGACCCACTCCTTGCTCCCCTCTAGTTTTGGGACATCTCAAAACTCGGAAACGGCAACACAGTGAAACGAATAAGGATGTCTGATGCACTCACCGTTTGGTGCACCAACACGAGCCCAAGGGCTGCCCCTGAACCACTCCTTGCTTCCCTTTGCTCCCGCGATTCCTGGTAGAGTAAAGAGATAACAGCGTGGGAGTGGGGCATGTTACTATTCAGCTGAGAGCATTCACAGACGACTAGAGTAGTAAGAGATGAGGCGTGATGAGAAGAGAGTGTGTGAGTGCGAGGGCCTATTTTTGAGGCGCCTCAAAATTGGGGGCATGTTGTTTCAGTCAACTGTGAGCATTAGCAAGGAAGGGGTGAGAGCAAATTTTTTAGTCGACTAAAAAGAAAAGGGCGAAGAGATGGGGCATGTTGAGAAGATAGAGTGAGAGTGTGGGGGGTGTGTGAGGTAAACCATTAGAGAAGCGGAGTGAGAGAAGGAGAGGACGGGGTACGGGGAGGGAAGAGGAGGAAAGGGGAAGGAAGTGGAATTGAGGGGAGGAGAAGGAAGGGAATTGGAACAGAGGGGAGGAGAAGCGGGGGGAGGGGACGGGAGGGGAGGAGAGGGGAGGGAAGGGGAGAAGAGGGGGAGAGGAGGGGAGGGGAAGAGTGGGGAGGTCATGGGAGAATACGGGACGGGACGAGAGGTGAGGAGAGGGGAGGGGAAGGGAGGGAAGGGGAGGGGATGAAAGGCGGAAGAGGAACGAAGGGAGGGGGGCAGATGGAGGTGACAAGAGGGACGAGGCGGGGAGCAGAAGGGAGGCAAACAAACAAGGCTTGCGAGGACAGAGAGGTAGAAAAGCCCTTGAGTGCCACCTGGTATGTGGAGAGACATTGGAAGGCAAGCGTTTAGGGTAACAACACCATGTGTCGGGCTGGAGAGAAATGTAGAAAGCTCAGCAGCAGGGAGGGAGACAAACAATCAAGGCTCACCAAAAGGGAGAAGTAGGACGGCCCTACAGTGCCCTTTACTTGCAGTGTGGAGAGACGTTAATAGCCCAGCATCTGAGTTTCAATACCGTGAGTCAAGTAGGAGGGAGAGGGACGATGCTCACATACAGGGAGACAAACAATCAAGGCTCACCAGGAGGGAGAAGTAGGACGGCCCTTGAGTGACACTTGCTGTGTGGAGAGACGCTGGAAGGCCACAGCCCGAGTCTTGGCACGACAGCACCAGCATGCACCGCTCTCCACCCCTCTCTTGCCCACTCCCATGGCCTATCCGACGCCCTCGGCCACGCCCCCTTTCCTGATATTTAGAGCGCTTCCTGCCTTGACTCTCATGTCCTCTCTCATGCCTCCCCTCTAGACTTGCACTGTCTGCTGCAACTGTTGTTGCTGCTGCTGCAACTGTTGCTGCTGCTGCTGTTGCTGTTGCTGCTGCTGCTGTTGCTGTTGCTGCTGCTGCTGTTGCTGCTGCCCCCCCCCTCACCACCTCGAGCAGGCAGCGCCGTCTAGAAGTAAGCCAGGTGGGCATCCAACGGGCAGTGGCAGCAGTGGGTGCTCGTGGTGAGGTAAGGCCTGCAGTAGAAGGGGGATCAGGAGGAAGAAAAACGTGTTTTTTAGGTGGTGAAGGAAGAGAAGCCAGGCAGAGCAAGGTGGATGGCCAGTTGACAGTTGTAAGAGTGGGTTCTCGTGGGATGGCTGAAAAAAGGCCTGAGGTAGTGGGAAAATGTGATTCAGGAAAGAAAGGGGAGCAACGGGAGTGAAGAGAGAGGTTGGGAAAAGATGTGGGACGAGAGAGGGAGGGTGGGTTACAAATCAAGAGAGGAGTGGCGGGGACCGAGGATAATATATGTTTAAAACAGATAGCGCATGAGCATGCATGCAACCGCTCCCATGTTAACCAACCAACCTTACCCTGGCAACAAAGGGTGTCTTGCAAGCTTGTCCCTTGCAGCACCAGGGACACCCGCACTGTCACGTGGCCTTGTGTCGTGAACTTGACCGCGTTATCTGAAACGCAACCGAGGAAGTAGTAACCAGAAGAAGTAACCAGAGAATGGTAACCAGAAGTGGAACATGTCAGAAATCAGGGAGATGAATTATGAGCAGGGGCTAGACAGGTGCACTGTGGTTATTCAAATCAATTGGACACCGAGCAATTTCAGTTACATGTCACACACAGTGCACTTGGCCATGTTGCCGAGGTGCATGAGGAGGGTTCACAATGACATGCGTTACCATCACACACTCCACACGCTAACCATCACCCAACACAGCCTCTGGCTCATCCGTGACAGGCTGTCACTGACAGCTGTGGACCGCTGCTTGCTGGAACATGCCTCAAGACCCACTCAACCGTGATCTCCTTGAATGCATTTCTGCTGAAGTGCGAGGGGTTCACAACGACACACATCACCTCACCACACCCACCCGCTTACCATCACCATCACTCTAACCACAACCTGGGGTGCACCTGTGATCTCCCCGACCATGTCGCTGAGGTGCAAGGGGTTCACAATGACACACATCACCTCGCCACCACACATCACCACTCTCAACCCCGAGCTTACATGTGATGCCCTTGACCATGGTGCTGCTGAGATACATGAGGCTCACAATGACATGCGTGGGGCAGTCATCACCCACACTGCCGCTCACCGGCCTATGTGTGGGTCCACAATGACAACATGCATGTGTGAGGCGGTTACCATCGCGTGCTCACACCACCCCACCCACTTACCATCATGTACACTCTAACCACAGCCATGAGCCCACCTGTGGTCTCCTTGCCCATGGTGCTGAGATGCATGGAGTTCAGGCGCGACATATGATCCCATCCCACCACCGCGCATGGCTGACCAGGGCTACCTTGGTAGGGCGTAAGCCTGACCCGAGGTCCGCATTAAAAAAAAAAAAAAAAAAAAAAAAAAAAAAAAAAAAAAAAAAAAAAAAAAAAAAAAAAAAAAAAAAAAAAAAAAAAAAAAAAAAAAAAAAAAAAAAAAAAATCGTCGCACAAATCATCGCACATCACCACTCTTATCCGCGGGCCCACCTGTGATCTCCTTGATCATGGTGCTGAGATGCATGGGGTCCACAATGACATGTGTGGGGCAGTCGTCTCCCACAATGGCGCTCACTGCATGGGAACGAAGGAGGGTGGAAGTTTCTAGCACGTCAGCACGGGAATGAGGCCAAGGTATACAAGGCAAACTGACTTCGGAGGCGCGTTGAAAATCGCCTCACGACACGAGAATGAGGCAAGATACATGGGACAAAGTGATGCTACTGGAATGAGACACATGAGGCATGGGACACAAGACAACAATGAGGCATGTTACACAAGACAACAATGAGGCATGGTACACAAGTCAACAATGTGATAGCGGAATGAGACACAGAAGGCACGTGATAAAAGATTGGATTTGAGACGCCTCAGAACCACGTGATCAAAGATTGGTTTTGTTTTGAGACGTCTCAAAATCAGTCATTGATCAGGAAGGTGGAACTTTCCAATGTATGATTGCGGGAATGAGGCTAAGGTACACAGGGCAAAATGATGCCGCTGGAATCAGACACACAATGTCAAGAACAGTGAGACACATAATGCATGTTATACGATCTTCGCAACAACGTGGCGGGGCTCTCCTGGCGATTCATCAACACACGTTCTTCCATCCGCCACTCACGCTCAATGCCTTTGGAATGTGCCGCCTCTGCGTGCCAACCCAGAGTGGTACTAAGCCACTCCCGCACGTCAATCACCGCCTCATCCACCACCGCCTTGCCTGCCTCCAGCTTCGCCAGGTCCAACACGCGGTTGACCAGATGCAGTGCATCTTTTGCCGATGCCCCGGCCATTAGCAGGTCTGCTAGCTGAGAGGCGTTCAGGCCCATGTCTGCTTGAGCGTCAATCATCCCTGGTGGGAGAGAGAGGGAGTGGGTGCGGAAGAAGGGTGCAGGTGTGGAGTCAAGCGAAGGACGCAGTTTACCTGATGCAATGCATCCTTGGCCGATGCTGATACCATGAGTAGGTATGAGAGGACAGGCAGGTCGGAATGGGAAAATATAATTAGCAATAACAACGACAACGACGCCAGCGGCGGCATCGGCAGCAGCAGCAACAAGAACAGCAGCAGCAGCAACAACAACAAGAACAGTAGCAGCAGCAACAACAACAACAAGAACAGTAGCAGCAGCAGCAACAACAACAACAAGAACAGTAGCAGCAGCAGCAACAACAACAAGAACAGTAGCAGCAGCAACAGCAACAACAACAAGAACAGTAGCAGCAACAGCGACAGCAACAGCAACAGCAACAGCAACATAGTCAGCAGTGATAAGCACAACAAGTACATCTATATATGAAGTACGGCTGCTGCTGGTGTGGCTGACTTCCAACCAAAGGAGAAGGACAAGGCATGTGAATGAAACAAGATGTTGTACATACCAAGAATCATGACAGGAAAATCTCATGACGATACGAGTACCATCAATTCCATACCACTGATTACGACCATGAACATCCAACGCCGATGCAACATGCACACCGTAACCATGCTCTTTGACGCCTTTTGAGTTGACTCAAAAGTCATACAACTGATTACGACCATGAACGTCCAACGCCGATGCAACATGCACGCAGTAACCATGCTCTTTTGACGCCTCCCATCTCAGCATATCAACCATTGGTTCTACTTTGTTTTTGTGATCATGCGGGCGCTGAGGTGGCAGTCCCTCGGGCAGATTACAGGGGGAAAACGGTGAATGCCATTCAACAATTCCGCGAACTCCTACGGGACAGCAGCCAGCAATTTTTGGAAATCACTCGGCTGCCCTGCTTCATTGATTTGACGGCATGTTTCAACACGATGGCATAAACATGGACCATTGAAAAATCAAGCGAGAGCCAGCGAGGTTGTAGCGTCGCAGCCAATCACGGCCTAGCAAGTGTTGTTGCTACCATTTCCTGTGTAAGACGAAGTCAGTCCTGCAACAAATCTTCACTTTGTCTACTAGTTCTTGTGTGGCGAGTGAGGTGGCATCGACCAGTTGAGCGTTGAAATTAGATACCGCTCACATTCTTCTGCCTACCCTACCGAGCTGCTATGATTGTGGTATTCTCAACACCTCCCATCTCAACTTTTCAACCCCTGCCAACAGCAGCTGCTGAGTCTGCTTGGCGCACAGCAGGCGCGCATGAATCAAGCAAGAATGCGCTACTCACCAATGATCCCGACCATGGGCGTCCGCAGCTCGTGAGACATGCACGCCACGAACATGCTCTTTGACGCCTCTGCTCCCTCCGCCTCCCGTCTCAGCCGGTCTGCCTCTGCCACCTGCTGCTGGGTCTGGTAGAACTTGGAGCGCTGCAGGCAGGCCGCTACCAGCACGAGCAGCACGAGGAGGAGGGCGAAGAGGGCGATGAGGATGGGGATGCCCCACTGCTGCCACGCGCTGGGGGGCTGGGTGTGCCTGGGTGGGGAATCAACAAAAAGAGATAGGGCATGTACATAGTTTCTTTACTGCGCGAGGTCACAGAAAGAGAGAGAGCGATGAGGATGGGAACGCCCTACCACTGCCACATGCTGGGAAGCTGTGTGTGCCTGGATGGGGAGTGGGGGGAGGGGGGGGAGTTAACAGGGAGGTGGTGGATATCGGCAGACTTGGAAGAGCTCACTTGCACCAAGCTGGGTGTCAAAACCGTTAAGGCGTGTGTTGAGAGGCGAGACACAAGAGAATGCTCAACCACACCACAGTCCCGCAGGAAAGCTCCCTCACTTGCACCAGACTGCGGAGAGTCGTCCTACTATGGGAGTATTCCACATGGGAAGTGCGTAGGATTCATCGTGCTATGCAGCTCATAATACGTAGCACTAGACAAAGACTTTTGCTAGCAGGAATCAGCAACAAAATGCATGGGAAAATAATACTACAGAAAACATGCTAGGCTCGAACGCCTTGCACAATATTGTCGCCACCTACCTACGAGGGCGGCTTGCCAACACAGCAATAGCAGGTGAGTGAATTACGCGCATGCACTTTACCAACCAAAGTAGGTGCAGGTTTGCACGACAGATGGTTATGTGAACGCTGTGCACATGATGTGTGTGGGCGAAACCCATGCACATGCAAAATTTCGCTGACCAGAAATTTGGTTGACCAGAAAGACGTTACAATTTCGCTGCGAACGTCATTAGTTACGACTTTCGACACCTCATTGAATTTTACTCTTGTCAGATGGGAACGTCGATTGGGAGAATCGATGCTCGCCGATTGGAGTCTTGTCGCCATAGACGTCACAAAAGTCCCGTTGACCAAGAAACCAAGCCTGCATGCATTGCATATCGGCCACGGAGGCTGACTATCGACAAGCGGGGCCGATGCCTTTTGTCAACACAGACCTCGTACTTTCGCACACTTGCTCCCATTCCTTCCACAGGCACCGATGCCCGGTGCTCCCAGGGGCGGTTTCGGAACCCGGAGTGGGGTTCATGTGGGGGGGCGAGAGGGCAGGAGAGAGGGAGAGCAGGAGAAAGGGAGCAAGAGAGCGAAAGCAAGAGCGGGCCGGGGGCAGGTTTCGAAACCAAGAAGGCTCACTCACTCACTCACTCACCTGCACCAGACCTCGTACTTTCTCACCCCCCCTCCCATCTCCTCCAAAGGCACCACGGCTCGATGCTCCCAGGGACGAGTTTCGGACTCTGGGGAGGGGTGCATGTAGGGGAGCTTGTCGTCGGGGCGGAAGTAGGCGTGGGGAGGGACTGGAGAGACGATGGCGGAGAGAGTGGTTGGATCGGTGATGTCGTATAGCTCAAAGGACTTGGATGGGTCTGCATGGTATGGGTGGGGGAGGATGAGAGAGAAGAGGGGATGAGAAGAAGAGCACAAACGATACAGCGAGAAACCTTCTACCCACGGCCCCTCACTCACCAGGTGGTGCATACATGATGCAGCCCCTCACTCACCAGGTGGTGCATACATGATGCAGCCCCTCACTCACCAGGTGGTGCATACATGATGCAGCCCCTCACTCACCAGGTGGTGCATACATGATGCAGCCCCTCACTCACCAGGTGGTGCATACATGATACAGCCCCTCACTCACCAGGTGGTGCATACATGATACAGCCCCTCACTCACCAGGTGGTGCATACATGATACAGCCCCTCACTCACCAGGTGGTGCATACATGATACAGCCCCTCACTCACCAGGTGGTGCATACATGATACAGCCCCTCACTCACCAGGTGCATACATGATACAGCCCCTCACTCACCAGGTGCATACATGATACAGCCCCTCACTCACCAGGTGCATACATGATACAGCCCCTCACTCACCACGTGCATACATGATACAGCTCCTCACTCACCAGGTGCATACATGATACATCCCTTTACTCACCAGGCGCATACAGCTCTTCTAGGACCTTCTGAGCAATGTAAGTCACGTCAACGGAAGCAGCTAGTGACCCGTAAACTGCTCGCCCTGCTGCTGACTGATTCGAGTGGTTGGTGGGGAGGTTGCGAAAGAGAGGAAAGACCACACCTGAGGTCGGGCGGATCAAGAGCAACAGTGGGGAGGGGAAACAGAAGAGAGGTTGGAACCATATGTTTAATCCTGTTCGCCTCTTGATTCTCCGCATAATTTGCCTCACCTCAACCAATCCCTCACTCCCTCACTCACCCACCCGCCACCCACCCACCCACTCACCGAATCCGGCATGAGTGAGCGGGTTAGCGAGGGGGTAGGGCCAGGTATAGAAGTGCCTTCCTGCCTCCACCAATGGGATGGCCCAGGAGAATCGCTGAAACATGTCGATGTTGCTGGGGCCGTTGGTGGCCCACAGCGTTGTGAGCTCGAGGACCTTGGCACAGTAGATGGGGCGGTGGGCGCTGACAATCAGCGTGTTGTCTCTGATGCTGCCGTATTCCCGCTCAAAGGCCGCCCTGCAGCAATGCGTGTGGGGTGAATAAGGAGGGAACTGGTAAGGGGATATCGGGAGAGTTTTTTCGGAAAGAGATTGCTTTTTCTTGTGCTGGCGTATTGCTTCTCAAACAAGCCCCTACAGCAGTGATTTGTGCGGAAATAATGGGGGATGTATGGGGAGTGGTGGTTGGTCTTGCTGGCTCACACCACTCAAACACACTTGTCGCCAGGTTTGCTGCTGTTCCAACCCTACTCAATATTCTCACCTCCCTTTATTCTCACCACACCCCTCCCCCCATCGACCTTACCTCTCTCTCTATTCCTTCATCCCCCCGCTCTCCTCTCACCTCTCTGCATCGCGCACCACCGTACACGCGAGCGCACCGGTGTTCCCCGGGCGGGTTTGAGCGGTGCGAGTGAGATACGACATCCACAAGTTGCAGTTCAAACACCACCCCATGTCCCACTTGCCCGGCCGCCCTGGCGTTCCCATCACAGAGATTAACCCCGCCAGAGTCTGAAGAACGGGAGGGGATCAGATTGAGTCGTTCGTTACACAAGGCGCAGAGTCTGAACGGCACAAGCCCCTGCGTTTAATGTTCCGTCCATGTCCCACACGCCCGCCCTGGCCTGTCCCACATGTCCGCCCTGGCCTGTCCCACATGCAATTCCTCTGTCCCACATCCGCCCTGACCTGCCGTCACAGACATCACAGCGCCGTAAGTCTGAAGTGAAGAATGGGAGGGGACAGGAGTGGGATAACTGGGAGATCTTGAACACTACGCACTCATTCCTTTTGGTTCTTGCACGCCTATAAGTGCCTCACAAATGGGAGGGAAGTGGATTGGATTGGGATCATTCGACTACGCCAAACAGCATCAGGATGAGCAGCAGAAGGGGTAGCAGCCCGCATGCTTCACACGCGGCCCACATCCCACTTGCAAGTTGCCCCGGCCTGCTCACGCGTGGAAGATTGTTACGAGGTGACTTATGAGTCGACTCAACGGTCACCTTGCCGCTCACGCGTGGAAGATTGTTTCCCAAGCTTGTTTGTGGAAGCAGGGAGGAGGGGAGAGGGGAGGGGGACGGGGGGGGGAGGGGGGTGGTGATGAGAGCTGTTCATGCGCCAGAAGTCACGAGCGCAGTGCTGCGCTGCACAGTGCTGTGCTGCGGATGAGTGCTATCCAAACGAACCTGTATCTGCCCCGCGTGGGCCAGAACGAGTTGCTGCAGCGTGAGGGCGCGCTCCTTGCACCACAAGCCTAGCGCCTCCTCCCTGTGATCCTCGTACTGCTTGTGCCGATCCCACAGCAGCCACGCCGCTATCGCTGTGCCGCATGCCACCCACACGACCACCAGCACCGTGAACAATGGCGCTGGGTGTGGGAGAAGGGGGGGGTGTGAGGAGAGGGGGGGAGCGGGAGAAGGAGAAGGAATGAAGGATAGTACGGGCTGCTGCTTCTGTGCGGGAAGCTGGGAGCAAAAGGGAGATTAGAGATATCTTGCTTCCCTAACTTTTCATTTCCCCTCTCTTACTACCCCTATCTCTCCCTCCCCTCTCCCCTCCTGTCACCGCCGCTCCCCCTTTACCTGTGTTTGGAAATTGTTCAAAGCAGCTCCGAGGTTATTTACTAAACAGCACAGGGCATCCGTGAGATCTCCAATACCAAAGGAAGAATATTGGAGAATCTAGCACCAATTTTTTATCCGCAAAATCTAAAGCTGCAGCCTGAAAGCACACTTCGACATTGTCACTTTACCCTGAAAAAGCACCGGGGAGCAATCGACTGGATCCCCCGCTGTCGCGACATCCTCTTCTTCCCACGCCTGCTTCTGTTTCATACAGCTTGGGGTGACGTGTTTTCTCCAACCGCCGCCGCCGCGTTCGGAGGCTTTCGGCAAGGTCATCAGCACCCGCTACGGTAGTGACAGCTAGTACTAGTAGTCCAAGTACTAGATCCGCCTCCGAGTCCGTTTTTCGCCGCCGCGGTGATCGCCAACCGGGAGCGGGCTCGCGCTCCGTAGAAGCAGTTTAAGATTCGGTGAGCCGTCTGAGTCAAAGTTTCAGAAAGTGCGGACGACAAACATAACTACTAGTTAGCAAACTTGCCAAGGAAGTGACCCATGGAGATTCAATGTCAGCCATTCGTTTGGTCAAAATCAGGTCAGTCAGACGAGAGAGTTCCAAAGAAATCCTCAGCCAAATGAGTCAAATTGAGAACCCCCATTTCTTGCACAACACAATCGGAACCGAGATGCCAGCCAATTCCTAAACAGGTTTCAGCCTAGGCTATTTTATTGGGTAAGTAGCTTTGGCAGGGGTACTACTAGCGACCCTGCGCTTTGAAGGAGACTACATGCCCAGTAGCGGGCACTTTCCACCCCTCCGCGCCTCAGACAGGGAAGTTATACAGTTGGGAGCCCAGGCTACAGTCCTTACTGTATCTTGGACCCTAGCGATCTGGTGCTTGGAGCCGAACCCTAGGTAAGTGGAGGGCAAATGCACTCCATGAGGAACGGTACACCCTCTTTCTCGCCATTGTGAATCCGGTTTTAGTGAAGTCAAGATGGGAAAAGCACGGTTAACAGTGGTTAGATTAAGTCTCGGTATGGTTCAATCAGACAAATCGAAGGTAACTAGGTTTTCCACCAGTTCGGCACAGTTCATAGTAGTGAGAAATAGGGTGTATACAACGGTGTTTAGTAAGAAATTTGTTTTTATGTACGCTTAAGTACGGCAAATGTACTTACAGGGTATGTTCTTGAACCATTTTGGACGCATTGATGTCATTACAGCTGGCAGGTTCATGTGGCGATTGTACATGTGGCGAGAAGGAGGGTGTAGAAACAAGACAGTACACCCTCGCTCTCACCACATGCACAATCGCCACATGAACCGGGCGCTTGTAGTGACTGAAACATGCCAAGAATGGTGCTACACCCTTATTCTCAGTCTTCTCACCGGCGGAAGCAGTGGCTGCAGTAATTGGACATAGCGGGCTGGTGAGATAGCTTGGTTGCGGGCCAAGTCGCACGAGGCGACGAAACCAGACTTGGGCCGTAAAATTCCGTTAACGCTGAATAACTGTCTTAACCGTTTAGAAAACAGCATTACCATTTTAGAACGTATAGAACCTTGACTAAACGCCTTGGGTCAGACTGTCAGTATAACGCATGTGATAGGACCTCCTTTGGTCCGCTGCGGCTACACTAAGCGTCCCGGTCAGTATAACTTATGCCAGTCTAACGAGAATGAGGGTGTAGCACATACCCTATAAGCACAATCACGACTGCCACGTTGGTAGTGCAGTTGTTTACTTTGACTGGCCAGGAAGTGTACAGTGCGCTCGCATGTGTGGTTGGCTGCCGCTGCTTTTCGCTCTACCATACATTACCCCTTTCTACCGAACGTAGATATTATGTATATGCTTTGAACCCATGTTCGGAATTGTATGTTTCTTGAGTGTTTTGATGTGGAATCTTTGGCCACAATGTAGGACAAAGTGAGCAGAACATTTAGAATGTTCTATTTTGGCGCTTGGTGCATGGTGTGCCTGGCAACACTAGGGGGTTCGGCCACATGCACAGTGGCGCTACCTGACAACACTGTAGTCGCTGCTCCCAATTGTGCGTAGGCCGAGAATGAGGGTGTAATCTTCCCACATTCACCAGCGTGTCAACAGTTTCCAAATCGAGTCCACACTCTGGGTGGCTCGGCTGCCACACTGTTCTGAAATCTGATAGGCTACTGTTTCGCGCCCAAAATTTCGGAACACAGGCCTGCGTCAGCAGGCAGTGCAATGAGTCAGCGGGCAAGTAAAAAAATAAACCCCACATGGAAGGCATGCAATTAGGGAGGCATCAACCCTAAATTTTTAGGGAGGCATGCCAAAGCTACTTGTCCTGCTCATAGGAGCTACAGCTGATGCTCACCCCATGCACGAGAATTTGCCTTGCGCTGGATGGATACGCTGCACCCGAGGTTGTTTCCCCAGCCTCATGCACCTACATTACAAGCGCGTCGCGTGGTTATCAACCAATAGTAACGAACAGAACGAAGTCAAGCAGAATAGACTGAAGTTTTTTTTCATTATGAATATATCAGAATACACCGATGAAGCAAGCGTATAAGAGATATATGTCAGTAGTAACTGGGCGTGAGAGGCCAAACCCTCAGTGGTGGCCCCAAGCGAGGCTTCTAAGGCGGATGCAGAGATCCCCTTGCAAGACTCCATAGCGCGCCAAAACTGTGCGTCCACTTCCAGCCTTTTGCCGTTGGACACCGGATGCGCCTGAGAAAATTGTCCTCCTGGCCAGCCAGCACATGCGAGCTGGCTTGTCTTTTGTAGCCACCGCTTTTCCCGAGCTTCTTCCCCATGGCGCGCGTGTACACTATCACATGCAGCCGAAAGGCTGCTTCGATGCGCCTGAGGACCCGCCGAGTTCGAAATCTCTTCCCCCGAAACACACAGTCACACCGCTCCGCCCAAATCTGATGGATAGCGATGGCGGAAAGAGAAGCTTCCGGAAATGCCGAGGCAGATGCCGCTTTCCCAAACAACAGGTCCCCCAGATCCGACACATGTCTCGCTGGATTCAGGACACGTAGGGCCCGTCTAACTGCCCCCACCACTCGTTGGATGCGCGGGCAGCTGAAGAGACAGTGTTCCACAGTTTCGAATTCCCCACAGTGCGGGCACACTGGCTTGCCGCTTATAAAAGAGAGCCTCTCCCCCACCTGCAGGTTAAGGCTATGAATCCTAAGCAGCACATCCCGCGGCCTGTTCGGCGTCACCAATGAGTTCCGGATCTTAATCACCTTTTTCCAGTCAATGTCACCAGCCCATCTGCCCGCCCAAAGTTCCCTCTTGGCGGACTGATGCCTCTGCTTTGTCAAACAGCCCTTCAACTCCTTCAACGACACCACCTGCCCATCTTTGAACAGTGCCGATTTCAAAAGACGAGGAGCTGCAGGCGGAGATGACAGCTGCGGTGGCTCAGCAGACAGAAGACTCTCCTTCCAGGTCTGCGGCACAGCTTCCCAGGCCCGTAGGGCCAGCTTCGCTTGTTTAGAACCCCCCAACTCATGTGTTAGGGTTTTCACATCCTTGACTTTACACCCCCCCCGCGCCATTCGGTATCAGTAGGTCACCCAGCCGAAGCTCCCATAGCTTCGCCGCAGCTTTCTGTTCCCAGACTGAAGTAAAATATGGTAACAGATCTTGTATAAAAGCACATGCGAATCCTTTTTAGCTAGCTGTGATTGACGAAATTAAGCGACATGCCATGTTACAGCTTATACGCTCCCTTCACAAGGCAACCGGGGGGGGCTCAAACAGGCATCATGTGTACTGACTTGCGGTGGGGTTCGTGAGGCCAGGTCTTTTGGTTTACACGTCACCCCACTGAACCGACTTTCTAGCCACACGCCAGTTGGCTTGCTCGGCTACAGTCCACTGGTCGCTGGCTGTACGCGGGCAGAGCAACGAGGTTGACACACAGCGACCCTGGTCAAAAACGATTCGCGACACAGAGCGACTCCGGCTAGGAGGCAAATACGGAAGGGCCACATCGACAACTAAGAACCTGTCAATGTGTTTTATAAACCTGAATTTTAAACTGTTTTGTGAACGTTATCATTTCCCTCACTTATGCCCGCCCGCGGTGAAGATAGACAGCTGTTCCAGGTCACACGCGCGAAAAAACTGGTGGAGTACGATCGTGATCATATCTCAATCAATCTGGAGCAGTTACTTCTTGTATTCACAAAAATATCACTACGTAGTACAGAAAAATACGGGAATCCGAGTTGTGACCCAATACGCCTTGCCTCTGCAGTGTGCCTTGACAGTGTGTTTTTCATTTTCGAGGTTGAATCGAGCTGGGCGGAAAACCCGAATTCCCTGCCTAGCTAAAACTTTTGGGTCCTACAGTCGATCCTACATTTAACGGCGTGTTGCGACCCAAAGAGGTCAGGCATTTAATCCCAGGAGCTAGAAACTCTGGTCGAACTTGGTCTTCCTGCCTAGATTCGACGTGTTTGTGGCTGTCTCTATGCGTAAGTGCGTGGTGGTTAAGATTTTAGTGGTGTAGGTGGGGAGATGAGAGGCCTGTCGGTGGGCCTCCTATGTGCGGTCACTAGCGATGCACGCCACTCTGATCTAGAGCTGAATCTCTGGTGTTTCAAGCCGATTCTGGAAATTCCAGTCACAAACGCCACTGGACATACTCCAGCTTAGAGGAAAAGCCGCGAAGTTGATGAAGTTCTACACAAGGGAAAGAGATGGCAGGGTGTCTGCCGTAACGAGCCGGGACACGGCAGTGTTGCACGTAACAGCATTTGCAGAGTTTGTTTTTAGTAGACACCAGCCGAACCCAATTATGTCAGTGTGGGTCCGACAATAAGCACTGAAATGCAGGGCAAATAGGGTCTAACGCCCTAGGGCCCTGGTCTTGAGGCTTCGTACATTTTACACATGTTCAGTACAGTACGCAACAGTTTACACGTATCAAATCAACCGCCTTCACCAAACAGTGTCGTACTGCAGGTTTTCTGTGAGGATGAACCGCAGCACGATATTCTCAGGAGATGAGATCGTGTGACACGATCTACCGCACGACCGACTTAATTCCGTCGACCACCCTCACA